CACGCACACGCACACGCACACGCACACGCACACGCACACGCACACGCACACGCACACGCACACGCACACGCACACGCAAGCACATACACACACACACGATGGGCAAAATCCGACCAGCAACCTCCCCGTGGTGTCCATCGGGTAATGCTAATGTTGGCGGTGATTGAATGCACAAAAATGCATAGGTAACTTTGATAAGCCATCTCGGCGAAAAAAAATCGTACGAACTTATTTTTTTTTAATTTGCAGGGAAAAGTCCATATTTTACGATGGTTGCCATGATAGTTACAAAAAAATTCATTCTACTCCGTAGAATGTGTCAGTGTGCAATTTTTTGGAGACGTAATACGTCCTTACTTTTGGAAGAACGGCGGGAGGGGGGAGGCTAAATTCAAAATCTGACTATGGTTCCTTAAAGTACAGACTGCACCCTTTAAAATGAAAAAAAAGCTTTTAAATATGACAATTATTCGCGGAGTTATGCTTATTTAAAGTTGGGCAAATTTTTGACGTAAATTTTTGTTGCGATAATTTTGTTGCCCAGTGTATATAAACGGAGTTCAACTGCGTACGCTGCGACTCGATGAACCGCCAAGGCGACATTGAGTTGTAGTACATGTGGAGGACCCCAAGATACTTGTTAAGGAAGCGATAGAGCTACTTGACAGGCAAAATGAGGGACTCCAACCTGCGGATTGGGTGGTCGCGAGGGACAGCGAGAGTAGGGATGCTGGGAGCACCCACTTTGCTGCTCTTATTGGAGAGGGAGCGTTGAGGGCTTTTAAGGGGATGCTCGATAAAGCGTCGATAAAGAAGTGCTCACCGATTCTTACACATACATACAGAACGCCTGCTCTAGGGCTACCCGTTATACTGATCCGTATGTTTTTGAATTCGGGGAGACGCGTAACATCTGCATATGAAATTTCCAAATGCACTTTTCTCTTATACTAAAGCTCGCAGCTCATTTCTGCAAGCACAGGATTCTTCTTTATTGTATTTCCGTGACTGCTGCAAGGTTTTTGTATACGTACACAGTCTAAAACTTTTATGTGCAGCAAATGTTGTCATGAGTCGACCGCAGAATCGAAACTAAAACTGTAATTTTCTAATGTCTTTTCGTTTTTCATACGCAATTGGTGTCTGCAGTCTTCGTTATCGTCCATACTTTAATTCTAAACAAAAAATTTTTAATTCGGTGAAATCAATCAAAATATTTGTATGTCTGAAAAAACAGACCTGTCTCCAACATCCTCTTAAAGCGCTCAACTATAAACCCTTCTGCAGAGTCGGCCAGGCGACGGTTATGTTGCCTAGAGGTGACCGCGGTGAGGCGTCAAGTAAGAAGGAGAATGAAACGGGTACTGCCTAAAAATGGTAAACTCGAGTATCCTCTTCATTCAAATTAACTTGCATCAGCAAAAGCGCCTCGGCGGTACTAGCCAGGTGCGTAGCTGAGATGCACACAAAGCACTTATTCCTTATCCAGGAACCGTGGCTCATTAAAGGACACATTAGGGGTCTAGGTGGTTGTAGTAAGTTATTTAAAGCCGACAATGCAGAACGACCGAGGGCTTGCATTGTGACAAAAGGACTAGACGCTTGTCTATTACCACAATTTAGTGACGGCAACCTAGTCGCTGTTCAACTGAAACTTAAAATGGCCGACGGGGATTCAGGAATCTGATAGTGGGGTTTGTTTATATGCCCTATGATTCGGAAGAACTGCCCTCCAGAAGAACATGTTAGAGTTAGTGGCTTATGCGAAAAAAAGGGGGCTAGAACTACTCTTGGAGTGCGACGCTAACTCACACCACCTGGTGTGGGGAAGCACCGACATAAACTCAAGAGAAGAAAGCCTACTCAACTTTGTTATAAACACTGACTTACAAATCCTAAATAGGAAAACGGAACCTACCTTCCTGGACTCTAGAAGAGTCCTAGAAGTGATAGATATCACACTATGCACAAGGGGCGTGATGGATCTAGTGGCGGGTCTCAAACCTTCAGGGTCCGACCACAGGCAGATCCGTTTCGACTTTGTGCGAATACAAAAAGACGAAAAATGGGGGAGAAACCCCAGAAAAGCAAACTAGGAGGGCTTTAGAGCTGACTTAATTAGTCGGCTAAAAAATGCACCGATCAGATTTTACACAAAGAAGGAAGTTGCATCGAACTTTATGAGTAATGTCATCAGGGAATCCTTTGAAATGAATTGCCCATTGGAACCGAAAAATGCTTCGGCCAGAGTCTCGTGGTGGAACAAGGAGCTATCAAGAGTGGGACTCAAAGCTGAGGTAAGAAAGCTCTTCAACAGGGTTAAAAACGTAAACATGCCGGGAGCCTGAGAAAAGTACAGGAATTCTCAGCGTACTTACAAAAAAAAACGATAGTTAACGTGAAAACGATGGGGTGGAGGAACTTTTGCGCGAAAATTGAGAGTGCTCTAGAAACATCTAGACTGTGCAAAATCCTCTGCAAAGAGAACAACCCACAGTGGAGCTGTCTTAAACTCCCTAGTGGGGAATTTACCAAAACAACTAAGGAGACTCTGAACCATCTTATGGAGGTCCACTTCCTGGGATTTTAGAAGTCTTTCTCAGTCATGGAAAACCAACAACAACCTAGGGCTACTTACAAACCCAGAGCATGGGCGTTAGCAGCAAAAGTGGTTTACCCACAAGCGGTGGACAGCATACACCCCATACTTCTTCAGGAGGGACTGGGAGTAATGATAGGCCCAATGACCAAAATCTTTAGGGCAAGCATTGCTCTAAGACATGTTCCCCAGACATGGAGAGCCACCAAGATGATTTTTGTACCCAAGCTCGGTAGAAATAAACACATCAGGGCTAAGGACTACAGACCCATCAGCTTAACATCTTTCCTATTAAAGATCTTGGAAAGATTGATTAATAGGTTCCTCAAAAACGGACCATTAATAAATTACCCTCTAGCCAATGCTTAGTATGCCTACAGGGAGGGCAGGTCTACAGAGACCGGCCCTACACTACCTGACGGGCAAAATAGAGACACAACTAGAGGCAAAAGGATATGCTATTGGAACTTTCTTGGACATCAAAAGGGCTTTTGATAGCACCTCGACTATAGCTATCAAAGAAGCATTGATCAGACATGGAGTTCCGGAACCGCTAGTGGATTGGGGTGGAGGACATGCTGGCGGGGAGTAACCTAACGGTCATGCACAACGACATTATCATTAGTGGCAGACCAGGCAAGGGATGCCCGCAGGGAGGGGTTCTATCCCCCTGCTGTGGTGCCTCGTCGTCAACAAGCTCCTAATGGAACTACAGACGAAGGGCTTCCTGACCTATGGCTATACGAATGATATAGCAATAGTGATCACAGGATCCTTTCTAAACATTTTAAGGGATTGAATGAACGATGCCTTTGTGTCAGGAAGAATGGAAGAACACAGGTCTGGGACACACAAGACTCAGCCTCCTCCAGAAACACCCTTTCACTCCAAAACAGGATAGAACCCTAAGGAGATACTAGTAAAACATTGGTAAAACATTTCAAGATACAAATACCAACTAGAAAAGAATGGCCTAAAAGGATCCCAATGTGGATCTATGGTTCACTGATGGATCAGGCATCAACAACCGCTTTGGAGCGGGATTTTACGGGCCAAAGGATGACCATAGGGAGAGTATTCCTGTGGAAAGCCACTCAACAGTCTTTACGGCTGAGATGCTGGCTATCCTGAAGCACGGAACACCTCCTAAGCAACAACATAAGGGGAAGGGAGATAAATATTTGCTTGGACAGCAGGGCAGCTATACTAGCGCTAGCAAAAACAACCCGACTCAGCACTGGTTTGGGATTGCATGCTGGCATTAGAGAGACTAAGTGGACCTAATAAAGTCACTTTGGTATGGGTGCCTGGGCATCAAAGAATACCCGGCAACGAAACCGCAGATATACTGGCTAAGAAGAAAGCAAATAAAGCACCATCTGACCAAGTAGCGGGAACACCCTTCGCAGTAGGAAAAGAAGTCATCAAAAGCTGTCTGAAGAGGTAGCACTTGGCCAGGTGGGAGACATTAAAAACCTGCCACCAGGCCAGGATTCCGATGAAAAACATCAGACCAGGTAGAGCTAAAGAACTACTGGCGCTGAATAAACAAAAACTGAGAGTGGCGGTGGGACTGTTCACGGGCCACTCCGCCTTACTCAGAGCTCATTTATTCAATCTCGGATTCGCGAAACAAAAAAAGTGCCGCCTATGTGGGGACGAGAAAGAAGATAATGTGCATATACTGTGCCATTGTCCGGCACTTATATGCAAAAGATACAAAACTTGGGGACGAACGTACCTAAGTCCCCAGGATCTGGAAAGTGCTAGAGTGACAGACTTAATAAACCTGGTACTAAACTCAGAACTGGCCCTAAATACCTATAGCAAATAAAAGAATGGGGAGGCAAAAGCTCAGTAAGATCTAGGTATCGTCGGGGACTGTAGTGGAACTACCTACTTCTTTACTACTATTACCACTACTACTATCTTAAATGTATCAAAGAAACTGCAACTCAATCGCAAAGAGCATTAAGCAATTTGTACTCTTTCAGCTAAAAATAATATCAAAACTGATAACAACACGCGGTTAAAGACATCTAAGAGTAATAATTTCGAAATATTTCATTACATGACAGCATCTCTGAAAAAAGATAGCGACCATATCCCATTACGCCCTTATATATAGATACGTGTTATATGTACAAATATTCATCACATTCCCAAACTTACTGTTTTTATTTAAAAAATTTTTTATTTACAAAAATAACGGTAACGTCATTACAAATAACGTGTTATTTCCTAACTCTGTTGATGAATTGTCTTCGCACTTGTATATTTTGGCACAAATTGCAGAAACAATCGTTAGAATTTTTTCTTAGATATACAAGTAGGCGTAAATACTACGAAGCAGTCCAGGCCTCGACTGTTAATAAACTATATTATTTTTTTTAATGGTGTTTTTAATGACGTTGGTAGTGGATCTTAAAAATTGATTTCGTACATGTACATTTTTGCACGAAACGCAGAAACAATTGTTAGGAATGTTTCTTACATATTCAAGTACGCTCGGACACTTCGGACTAAACAAGAGGCACTTCTGGGACTCAACTGTTAACAAACTACTTTTTGTATTTAATGGATTTTAACGATTGTCCTCACACTTGTACATTTTGGCATAAAACGCAAATTACCATTTTCGTGAAAAATCAGAAAGGTTCTAATGAAATCGCATTACAATATCATTTTGAACAAATGTAAGAAGCAGTAAAGGTTATACCTTATATGAGCAATAACTAGACAATTTTAATTAGCTAGGTAAACACACTTGATTTATAAAACAACTTCGCTAAATTGCTTGCAGTTTCAAAATAGCCTAAACAATTAAAATTCACTAAAGTTGATTGCTTTACCTCCCATAATCCGTAGAAACATTGAGTTATTGTAATGTCCTGCACTATTACATCATACTCGACTGTTTTAATCGCTTCCAAAAGATCTGTCGCTTCTTTAGTTTTTATCATTGTGTCACATGCGTGAATACCCCACTGATGTGCAAAATATGTGGCATAAAATACGCTATACTTCTCCCATTCAACTGGGTCATAATTATTAGATTCATCATAAGTATCCATTAGACCATCGAAAACCTGAAAATAATAAGTACCCTTACGTTATACAGGAGAAGACATATGAAAATGTGACAAATTAACATCTCCAAAAGTATATTGATTTTACGTAAAAAAACAACATTTTAAAATATAAAAGTTATATTATTTCTCATTTGTTTAGTAAATTGCAAATTATCGATTTATATCTCTCAGAATATGTCTTCGAATCTCGTGACATCTATTATACTTACGACGTAGGTCAAATTCTGCGCGAGTTTTCCCTTGACTTTAGTCTCATGTATGCTCACTGCATGTACATGATGGCCTTTGCGAAGCAGTCCTTTAACCAAATGCTCCGTCCAGACGTGGTGGCTAGTCGATGGAATAGTTTGTATCAATAAAATCGACAATGGTTTCGACGCTATCACAAGATTACCCATTAAAATACAACAAATAAGAAAAATAACACAGCTTAACATTGTTGCGCAAAACTTGTCGCGTAGTCTCTCAATCAGATACTAAGACCGAATGTATCTGTTTGCATAGTGTAGCATTCCCCCTCTCTTCATTTCGAGATAACAGCGTTTATTATAATATTACTTTATATAACTTCAGGCTGGTAATATTGAGATTTTCTCGACAACTTATCGGTACAATCATAAAAATAAGAGGAGAAAAAAATGCATAAATAAATTATTAATAACATATCCCACACGGAACATAACATCCATTAGACGGCCACACAATCTCCATAGCTCCATGCGACATCTATGTTCACGGTGGACGTCAGATAGATCTCTAAAATAGAAATCCATACTATCTCCATCATAGATATATTCTACAAATCCATAATGAACAGATATCAGACGTCTATTTTATGAACATATAATAGATTTATATAACGTTTCTAACAAATCAATATTTAAGTTTTATAAGTAAATTTAAATTTTTAGATAATTTATAATGATTAATTTTTATACAATTTTTAAAAATATTACGTTATATAGATTAACCATAGATGTTTAATAAAGCTCTGATCGATAGCTGACAGACGTTAACAAGACGTTCAATGGAGCTTTGTTGGATAACTAATAGACTAACTAGACATTTAATAGAGCTTTGGTAGATAACTATATCGATAACTAGACGTTTAATGGAGCTTTGGTGGATATTATGAATATGTGTTTTAGGGCCTATATCCAGACAAACTTGAGTATAGCTGCACATAACCATTTGCATAAAAAATATTATTTAATTGCATTTTACTCTCGTTTTCATAATAGAAATGCAATTAGATAGTTTTTCTTATGCAAATAGTTATGCAACTATTCAACTTTGTCCAGGTAAGTCCTAAGGCGCACACCCACAAAAAATCTGTAACAAATTTAATATGGAGAAAATATTATTAATAAATTATAAGAATAAAATAATACAGACTTCTTAATATATATATATATAGGTAGGGGAAACCAGGGCGAAGTCGGCCCCGGGGCAGAGTTGTTTTTGCAATTATCTCGAAATCTGTATGTTATGTGAACTCGCCATTAATACTGTAAACGCGGCTTATGGTGACCACGTGACCAACGGAGTTTAGTGAGGTTACGTGCCATGTTTTGCAGGTTGAAAGTAAAATTTTTTCCGCGTCGAAAGTTTGTAATATCTTAAGTATTATTGTCTTTCCGAATCTCAAAGTAAGCGATTCTAAAGAGTAATGCATGCTGAACACGAATCCAGTGCAGTTTTTTTATTTTCATTGATTTCTATTATTTTATAAGCGATCAAACCTAAAACTTGTGTTCGGTACGAAGTTGTTTCCAAGCCAAAACGAAGTCAAGGAAGCTAAATAATATGTGCTGCGTATGCTCGGAGATAATAGAAAACAAGGCCGATGAAAAACAGTGCATTTCGTGCAGGCATAAGGCACACAACAAATGCGTGCGCTCGTCAGACTCCGTTTTTACATGCTTTAACTGTAGCGAAAAAGAAAATTGATTTTCTTGAAATTATTTTCCGCTTTCCATTTTTTAACTAAAAAACAATGAATAAAGTGTATTCTATTATTTTTTATGATTAAAATTATGTATCTTTATTTAAAATCCAGTCCGAGAATGAAAACACGACTCCACCCCGGGAATTTTGACTTTTCGATTTTTGCACCTTTGTCGTTTTTACTCTCATACCGGTTGAACAACGACGTACCTAGACCAAAAATGTCTATATAAATTTTGTAGCTAAGGGTTCACTGTTTACAATGGTATACTATATTTTACTAAAATGATTTATTTTGTTGTTAAAAATCGGCATCGAAAAAAAAGGGCCGATTTTGCCCCGGTCTCCCCTACTTTTTTCAGTGAGGCGTTTGTATTAATTGTGTTCTTAACAGTAGGCAGAAAGGTAATTGCAAGTAAATATTATTATAACGTACTGTATTTAATATTGCATTAATTTTTATTATCAAAAATTTAATAATAAAATATATAATTTAATAATTTAATAATTTAATAATTTAATAATTTAATAATTT